ACAAGCAGAATGGTTTAGTAAAATAGAAGAAAAAATAATAGAAAATAAGCAAAATAGGAGAGTAGAAAGAAAGTAGCAAACTCAAAAACCAAATGTGTATGCACTTGAAATTCAATTAGAGCCATGCTCAGAGATAGAAGAAAGAAAGAATGAGTGTTCATAAAACCAAAGAAAAAAGGAAAAGAAGAGGAAGAAGAGAACTCAGAGCTATTTGTTAAAAGAGTTATCGCTAGTATACAGAAAAAAGCTCTAACAGAACATTGAAAACAAGACATTGAACCAGAAAGCTTAAAGGTTTTTTTAAACAAATGTAATGATTGCAGTCTAAACCAAACGATAGAAGAAGGAAGCTGTTCAAGATAGGAAAATAAAAGTGAAATTCAAGATTCAATATTAAAACTTGTAAGAAAACAAAAAGACCCAATCTTAGATTTAAGCTATAAAATGTTCACACAACTAGGTAACAAAGAAGAAGTAACACTAACAGAAAGTGAACAGAAAGCAGAATATATACAATGCATAAATCTGAAAACAGAAATTATACAGAAGCAGTCAATAAGTTAGGCAATGAAGATAGAACTTATTTGAAAGAAAGACTTGAACCAAGAAAACCTAAAGATACTCTGGTATTCTATACAGATGGATCATTAAAAAAAGATTCAAAGAAAGGAATCTCAAGCCCAGATCACATAGGAGCAAACTGGATACAAGTGGATACAAAAGAAAAAAAAATACTTGATGAAGGTTACTATGGAGTATGAAATTGACCATTATCAACAAGACCTAAGCTATTAGCAATTTGGTATGTATTGCTTACTGTTCCAAGTAGGAAAAAGGTTAAAATATACATGAATAGTGCAATAGCTATTGCAAATATAAAAGACAAAAATAGCTTTTTATCTGTTAAATAATGTTTAAAAAGAAAAAACTTTAATATATTAGAAAATATTAGAAATAGTATAGAATTAAAAGAACTTAAGCTAGAATTAGTTAAAATTAAAAGACATAATGATAGTAAATGGAATATTAGAACAGATAGATTAGTGAAGGAGGAATCTAAATTAGACAATATGGACAAAATAGTTAAAAAAACAGCACAAGAAAATAGCATTAATCTTTGTTAGAAAAAAGAGGTAATAGAAGATCCTATAAGACAATTCCTAAAAGAAATTTTGAATCTTAAAATGAGTATAGAATGGGGTTTCATATCAGCAATCAAAAAAACAAAACTGGATAAGAACAATAAAACATATAATTGGTTATATCTGTGAAAAAGAATGAAAGACCAAAGTGAAAGCAAATGTACAAATATGAAGAAAAATAAGCAAATAGGAACTCTGATAAAGTGTATTAACAAAAAGTTGTCTTTGGCCAAAACACTAACACAGTGTTGCTCAGATATCTATAAGAATGCATACTGCATGCTTTGTCAAGAAGATGAAGAAGAAGACCAAGATCATCTGACAATATGTAAACATTATGAAAATATATAGAGAAACATAAAAGAAACATCAGTTGGCTTGAAATGGTCAAAGTTATCAAGTGAAACCAAAGCAGAAACATATAAAGATCAACTTAAAAAGATACTCTAAGGTATGCAAATGAATGAAAAATTAAGAACAAGACAAGAAATAATCAAAGACCTATTACAAGAAAAGTTAATAAAATATTTGCAAGATACTTTACAATCCTTTAAAGAAACAAAAGAATTTATTACAATAGCAATCAATACATCATGAAATTGCTTTTATGAAGATATATAAAAAAAGTAATATAAAGTTTTTACTTGATAGAAAAAAGAAATAGGAATTGGAAAAAAAGTTAAGTAGAGGAAAAGAACTATATAGAAAAAACCAACTGAAAAGGTTAATGAGTCTATTAGATCAGAAAAAAACCAAACAATAGAAGAAAAAAATAAAGAAATAAAGTGAAAAACAAAGAAATGCAGAAAATGTGATTTGACCCAATTATAAAATTTATAGATAGTAGAAAGAGACCATTTATATATGGCCTTTTTGGCTAGTTTAATATAATCTCCGGATCAGGGTACAACCCTAACTGGTATGGCAAACAGCTTCTGGGCACTCAAAGAAGTAACCAGAGAATGTAAGACCAAAATCTTAAGTTAAAAATATATGTAATTTATATACAAGAATCTTAATAAAAGTTTACAGCAAGACTGCCAAAGGAAAAAAAAATCGAGTTGTTAAATGATATGTGTCTCTTCATACATAGCTATAAACTTTTTCATAGTCCTTGCATAGTCATTATAGCTGCATTGCCAAAAACAATTAAAGGTCCTTGTACTGCTAAGGCAGCTATGAAGCCCCATTCTCATAGAATAATCTAAGGCCCAATTCTGTGATCATTGCACTGTGCATAGCCACTAAGCCACTTACTATTTAGGGAAGCATGTAGAATGAATGAGCTAACCTTTCCTAAGGCAACTAATAGTGAAACAAAAGATGACTATTATTTTTTAAACTGTTATCCTTATAATGCCCTTCTTTTCCCTTACCATTCATATGCACATGCCTTTCCTCAAACCCCTGGGCCTGATAATCACTACTCATAAACCTAGCATCGTCATAAGCCTGCATCTAACAAAAACACTAATAAAAAAAATTAGACTAACCTACAATAGAACATAAACAAAAACAAATTTGCAATAAAATCATTTGATTTCACAATAATGAACACTCTGTCACTTCATTGACAAGCTATCAAAAATTAATAACTAATCAACAACTAATTAATATCATTATGTTTTGAACCAATTTTATTTTTCTTATGTTAAAACCAGTTTTAATCGGATTTAATATAAGAAAAATAAAACTGGTTCCAAACTCTAAACATCACATTATAAAAATTTACATAATTTAAATAACTAATCAACACTAAATCACAAAATCATATACAGATTAAAATTTAAATAATTTTATCAGCAAATTCTATTTATCACATCAGAAAACAGAATTTTAGAAACAATGCAAGTCTGCAATTTGTCATAAATAATTATTATATATTCATTCATAATTCTGATTTCAGGAATGATATATAGAATTTGCTGAACACAGTAATTCGAAAGGCACAATAAACAACTTGGAAATAACATGATTACACTTTATTCCTACTAATTCATTATCTCATGAACTATCACCACTTACAGGAATGACTGTCCAAATATGTAGATAATCTCGATATTCCTACACAAATGATAAATGATTTTTTACACATAATAAAATACACCCATTAGAAAGCTAAAGTAGCTTAACTTTCTATAAAATGCAGTGAGTATAACGGATTAATTAACACTTTCACCTCATCTTGTAACATGTATATTTAATTCCAACAACTTTTTTGTAATTTGATTAGCTAATTTACAAGGTTGCTTACTAACATTTATATATAACCTTATCAAAATTATCTACATATCCAGACTGTAGTCACCATCTACTTCAATAGAAATCATACAAATTATACAAATTCAACTACTTTATGCTCATCAACATAACTACGCTTCATAAATTCAACTCCCTCAATGTATCCTTTATCCTTGTTATATTAGAAAAAATGTTTTAATGCTCCAAATAAAAATAAAAAAAATCATATAAATAAAAAATGCGCAATACAAATAAATAATAAAAATTCACATAATTAATAAAAAATGCGCAATACAAATAATAATAAAAATTCACATAATTAATAAAAAATGCAAAAAAAGCACGTTAAAGCGTAAAAAGTTTTAAAATTCTTCAGTTGCGCCAACGTAAATAATTTTAAAATTATGTTACCTAATATTTAAATTTTGGTTTATATAAGTTGAATTACAGTTAATATTGATTTTATTTATTTTGATCCATTAAACAGCGATTGTTTTTCCTTTGATGGATGAAAGCTTTTAATATTCGATCAAAGGTTTCACACACCAAAAGGTCGTAACTTTCCATTTTAAAAATTAATAAGAAAAAAAAAGTTATATTTATCGATAAAGTTAAACATTCGATTTATTTCACATACGTAATAATTCTGTTTTCTAAATTTTTATTAAATTTTGGAATAAAGTAATGACCTGTGAGGAGTGACGAATAAGCACTGACTAATTTATTTACATAAATAAAATTAGCTGGTGCTTATTTGTCACATAGATGATTAGTCACACCTGTCCTTTTTTCGTCACTTAAATTACGCGGTGTTGCAGTGACAAATAATTGCGTGACAATAAGTACTAACTAGTTTATTTATATATAATAAAGTAGTTGATACATATTTGTCACTCAATAATTAGTCACACCCTGATCCTTAAATTTCGTAACGTTTCATTAAAAAATTGACCTGGGTTCATTTCTGAACCGGAATCGACCTAAATTGTAAAATATTCAAATATCGCTTCCTACACAAAGTCACAAGGATTGATCATGAAATCAGATCCAAGATTTTGTAATTTAGGTGTGTTACTTAAAACTGCAGCGATCGACAGTTTCGTATTATGCGCATCATTGGATCCGGGCTTTTACATACTGGCTGTATAAAAATATGTAGTTTTTTTGCATCGAAAATTTATGTTCTTTAATATTATGCCTATATTATAGAGAATTCACAATATGCTTATTACGCTTTAATACCTATTTTTAAATTATTCAAGGAATATTAATTAAATACAATTAGTTTCCGTCTTTCTTTCTACTCAATAATTACCCATAGCTTATCTAATTCTCAAGGCTTACTGCATTAATACAACACTTTATCTTGTAAATTCAAATTTTATTATGTTAAAAATATGTACATCATCTAAAATTTATTCATCTAAAATTTATTCATCAAAATTTAACTGAAATGCAATATAAAAGGTACATTCAGTTTTGTGATTAAAAAACAAATGAAACCAACTATTTTCAATAACTTGACGTAATAAAGAATAAATTTTGTCACATTAATAAATTTAATATCTGTATTCAAAGAAAAATTCATAATCACTACGTATGATGAAGGGTTTAACACTATATTTTAATTAAGTTTGAAAATTGCCAAATACTAGGCAAATTTTCAGCAGGATTCTCATCATGTACGACTTTTCTTAATCGTGCAATGTATTCTATATCCTTTTTCAAGTTTAACCCTTGAATAATAATTTCATCATTCCCATTGGAAGCTTTCTTCTTTGCTCCTCCAAATATATTATTGTGATCATTATTGTCTATGATTTGTGCCTCGTAAAAACCCTCAGTTGGTGCGAAATAGGTTACGGAAAACTCTTGTTTTTCAAGCTCAAGTAATATGTTTTCAGGTGCTTTAAATTGGGTAACTACAGAATTTGAATTTGCAATAATACTATCAAATTCATCTTTATCGCCAATTGATTGTGCAAAAGCATGAAATTCTGCAATTTCTGGTGAGTCGTGTATTTCTCGTATTTCAGCAAGAGATAGTTCATGTTTAACTATCGGAGAATCAATCAGTGGTTTTATTAATTTGCTTTTATAATTTTTTGTGTTGTAATTTATAACACCTATTATATATGCTTTTATCTTTGGATTAAAATCACATGAAATTGATATTTGCATATCTGATTCTTCTATTTTAACTGATATTTGTGCATTCTCTGGAGGTAATAAACATTGCATAGTTTTAATCGAATTTCCTGAAAAACTACTTATTGTTTGATCATTTGATGCAATTGAATATACTTTAGCTTGATAATTCCCACCTTCCTCAAATTTAATATCTTCAAAATGGAAATCATGACATCCTGAATTGATGTCTTCAATTAAAGGTGATTTAGCTACTAAACGTTCATTTGGTGATTGTATATTACATAAATTAATCCTATATCCTTTAAAGTCTTTTTTCAAATTATCCGAAAGTGTAATTGGTGTATAGGTGATATGGAGTTTATTTGAAATTTTTTCCATATTAACATTTGTTGGTTTTGGAAGTTGCTTAAAGCCTTTATTAATATGAGCTACTGGTCCATCAAAAGATCCTTTACCATTTACTGCTTGAATCGTGCAAGTATATGTAATAATTGGACAGCCAGAATTCATTATTTGCTTTTCAAATTCTTGCATATCATATTCAATAAAAGTTTCTGGGATTTTATTAAAACTCAAACGTTGACCAAAGGCAAGTAAGAACACTTCATATTGTGATGCATTTTCAACTGGATCCCACATAATTTCCAATACATTATTATTTATATTATATGATCCTTTGATGTTATTTACCTGAGATAAAAATTTAAACGATTTACTAGATAATGTATAACCCGAATCCATCCAATTGGATTCCTCTTTTGCAATTTTCTTTATGCGTATATAATGTTCAATGATGGGTTGTTTTGTAATCCTTCTTAATTCATCTAATTTTAAATTTGGAGGATTCATTGATACTTCCTCATTTGGCAAAGAATAAATAACGCCATTGTCATTTATAACATCGTATGTATAACCACGCAATTGTTGGTCTGTTATATCTTTTACATGAATTTTAAGATACTCTGCATCTTTTTTAGTGTCATAAAAACGTTTAAATTCTACGGATATAGGAGAAGGTAGTCGTGGTATTACTTCATCAGAATATTTAAATTCACTATCTTTCCAATTAGTTGATTTTGTTGAACATCGTATCTTATATCTACCACCAGAACAAAAAATTAATTTCTCCTCTGCATTAATTATCAATAATGTACTTTCTAAAGTGTTTATGTTTATAGTTTCATGATAAACTACATTTATATCATCATTATTATCGTCATTATGATTGATTAATTCGCAATAGTATTGCTGAATATCCTTATCTTCTGAAATTATTTCAGTGGTAAGAATTTTATCGTGTGCATTATATGCAAACTTTATCCTGGTTGGAGGATACAATTTAGGTTTATGTTCGATTTCTCCTTCTTTTGATTGCGACCCAGAATAATAATCTTTATCATATTGAAGTAATGCTGTTATTTTGACCGAGCATTTATTACATTTCATTAATAACTCATTACTTAACACATATGATAATATTTTATTATCCGATTTATCACTTTCTATTTCTTTTTTCCCAATAATAATATACGTTTTTATTATTTCTTTTCCAAAAATAATAAAGTCCAATTTATAACGAATTTTATCGGCTAATTTGTCATTTGCCGCATTTATAGGAATATTCCATTTGATTTTTAAAGTATTATCCGAACAAAATTCCAACTCCGGAGTTAAATAATCCATTTTTAAAAACCTTTCTACTGCATTTTTTATCCTTTTATCAAGTTCTACCATTTCGCTTTTATTCTTTCTAATTTCTTTTTCTTCATTAGATTGATTACCATAAAGATTTTTTAGATCAATTGTTATTAACTCGATAGCAACACTAAAATATCCAAGCCACCCTCCAGTCATTAAAAGCAGTGGACTAGCCAATTCTATAGCACTACTTAACGTTTGTGCTTCTTCAACTGCTTTAATGCCCCCTTCTATTTTTTTAGGACTATGTTTAGGTTGTTTAGTCTCTAAAATGTTCTTGGCACATTTTTTCATTGCATCTGATGTAGCTTTTGATAATTTATTTATTTCATCGTCAATTAAGCATACAAATCCTTTTAAAGAACTTTCGCTTAATTTAATTAAAGTAGCAATTGATAAGCCGTTTAAAAACTTTACAAACTTTTCAGGATCTTTTAATAGATTTTGCACAAATTTTACGGCACTTTTTGGTAGTTGCTCTTTAAAATCTTTTAATAAACGGCTTGGTATATCTTTATCATGTATTGGATATATAATATCAAATTGAATTGATGACGGAATATCAATTTCTAAAATTTCTGTTGACTTTTCTCTTCCTCCTATTATCCTTATTAAATATTTTCCCGTAACTGAAAAAGTAACTAAAGTATCACTTTGTGGTTCAAGTTGCTTTAAATTAATATCGAAGTGACAATCAAAACCTTCTTCAAAGTTAAGATCTGAAATAACTTCGCATAAACCAACTAAACCAACTGAAGCTTTTTCAATAATGTTTGCGAATTTTGCTGCCTCCCAAAACATTTGGCAAAGGCTTGGCCATTCAGTAATAACGAATTTATTCTTTTGAGACCAATATCCTCTGATTGTTGGATTATCTATTCCAAGTAGAGATCCTTTTATATTAATTTCTCCTTCAAGGCATCGTGTTTTATTTTTATAATTTAATTTAAATTCAGCAGTCTTCATGTTAAATAATTCAAGAAAACCATTAATATCAATGCTATGATTACTTTTACTTAATTCTAAAGTTTTACTTGTTAAATGTTTATGTGACTCTATGGTCAAGTTGTATTTAGTGATTTTAATAAATCCCAAATTTATTTCTGAATTAATATTCTCCGCTTTAATTATTATCATTCCTTTCTTAACTTGAGCAGTGATTGAAATATTGACCATTCCAAAAAAATCTATTAATGCTCTAATCTTGTATCCTTTATAATAAACATTTCCATCGATTATTATTCTATCTTCAGGAAAGTTTTCTGCCATGTAATAAATCTCTCCATCAGTAAAAATAATATTAGGAAAATCTGTAGGCCATTCCACAGAAAGTATTGTAGCAAGTAAATGTGTAATTTCAATTGGATTTTCAATGCTTATACTGCAAACACATGGTGTCGGTGTTCCGTTTACGAATAAAATCCTTCCCTTTAAAATAGTTTCCATATTCAACTTTTCTGAACGAAAACTAACTTTGCCTATTAAATGCGTCCTATTTTGTAACTTTCTATTAAATGCTTTATTAGCTTCTATTATGACAAAATCAGGGTCATATTCAAAATTCATTCCAAAATCTAATTCTTTAATACATATCCCGCTCATTCCAAATGGATGTTCAATGACCTGTGACTTTAATAATTCTGAGTTCACCTCAAATGATGAGCTTCCTTTTTTGATGATCAACTTGCCCTTTATATTAACTCCTTTCGTACCAAGAAGTTTATCAAAATTCAAATCTCCAGAAATAATTAATTCAGATTTATTAGAATCATTATTTTCTGGTTTATATGAAAATGAAATTTTTTCAAAACTTATGCCACAATAAAGTGTTAAATCTTCAATGGTTGCTTTAAATTCACTTTCAGACAAAGATGCATCAGTGCGTAAAGATAATTGAATCAATATTTTTGGTGATTTGGAAACCAAATCTGTTGTTGCACAAGGGTTTTTTAATAAAAACGAATGTTCCTTAGTATAATCTAAAATTGCATATAAATTTACACCTTGTACTAATATCGGTTCATAAATATCTTTTCGATCAGGTAATGTAATTGGAATAATATCCTCAAATTCAATTTGTTTTTTATCTTTAGAATTTTCATCGTCCAAGTTTAAATTATCATTGAGATCTTTGATTATTTTATTTAATTCCTTTTTAGCATTTTCAAATGTTATGCTCTCATATGACGCAAGCACAAGATTTGCTTGCTTCAAAGGCAGCATCTCGTCTATGTTATATACAATGTTTGTTGATTTAAATAAGTCTTTGAATTGAAAATCATTAGGTATTTTTAATGAAAATAGGTATCCAAATTCATTGTTAATTGAAGTCTTTGTATTCAACTTTTTAACTAAGAGCAAAGCATTACCGATTGATTTGATTGATGCATATAGCGCAACAGATGTTTCGGCAAGGTTAATGTGAAGGTAAGCTTGTTCCTCAGTTGCCAAGATCATGTCAGATAATGTAACTGGTTGTGAACTATTTTGAGATTTTACGATGAATTTTGGTGATCTCATTTCCTTGGGAGTGTGGGTCGACCAACCTTTATCTTCATTTACATCATTTAGCAACGTATCAACAACACCTGAAATATAGATAGAGCCTTCGTTTTTGATAGATTCTATACTTGCAACAACTATATTTTCATCTTCAGTATTTGATCTTGCAAATTTTAATCTGAGCTCTGACATATCAAGCAAGAGAAATGTTCCATAAAATATCCCTTCAAGTTTTTCTTTTTTTCTATCGAGATCATATTCGTAATTGATTGATACTCCAAAAGGTTGCAAAGTTATTAAAGGGATTTCATATCTGTCTATTTCATTCTCAACAGAAATATTGAAGGCAATTATTTTGAATGGCTTTATCGAAATTTTTACAAAAAATTTTTGATCCAATTTAATATTATCAAAAATCGGTAAATTTGGTAACTTTGGTAATAAATCTGGTAAAGTTTGTTTATATCCTATTAGAAATTTTAATATGCCTAATAATGAAGAATCTGAAAATGAAGTAATAGAAGCTTCTACGACATTTTCAGAACAATCAATTTCTATTTCTGCACTAATATCTTCCTTACGAGAAATTATAGCTTTTAATATGTGTTTTCTATGAGGCGGAGCTACATTATTGGGACTATGATTATCTATAAGCATATATTTCACCTCCTCATATTTAAATGTTAAATTATCAAGAATAAATCCATCATATGATAATACTTTTCCTAATTTGGTTTTGAAAGTTTCGACATACACACTATCCATATGGATATTAATAATCAATTCGACGTTTGTTATTTCTGAATCACACACCTGAGAATACATAGAATTATCAGAAAATTTAGGTGCTTTTATGAACTTAATTTCTTTAAGTTTTTTACTTTTAACTGGAACTAAAGTGGCCTGAATTTTACGATTTTCATTATTGTAAATTAATGAAGCAATCATTCTATCAATATATCCCTCAATGCTGAACTTCCATATTGCTGAATCTTTATCATTTTTTGGAGGAAAATAGGAAATACACACTTCCGATTGTTCTATAGTTAAAGGTCCTAGTATAAGTTTATTTGATTGAAGTATAAACGACAAATCTTGAATAATAAAATCTGAGTAATCCGAATTAACTTGATTAATATTAATCTTCGAAATATTCATTGTTTCAAAAAGTTTTCCAAGAACTGGTATTATAGAAATATTTTCAAGTTGTAAAATTTGAATAATCTCTTTTAAATTAAGACTTTCATCAATGTTTTTAATTAATAGACGTCCATGCTGCTCTTTTGTTGGTGGCATATATTCGATCTGACAACTATACTTTGTATCTTTTCCAATTATCTCAGCTATTCCATGAATACTTCCTGACCATAGTGTGCCATTATATCCTAAATCTATGATTGCGTTTATAACTTCAATAACGCCCTCCTTGATTATGAACTTTGGAATTGAAATTCCAAAAGTGAAATCACCAATTTCATAAATAGCATTCTGTTCATTCAATTTAATTTGTAACTCAAGATATTGAAAATTCACGGATTCTAAATTCTTCACATGAAACCATAATATTGGTGAGACTTCATTAAGCTTTTCGAATGTGTCATATAAACCAATGGTCTTTAACATTTCCTTTACGTTTAATGGATTATTATCATCTAAATCTTGGGGTTTGATAGAGACCAGTATAGGCTGTTCTGTGTTTTTAACAGGAATATAAGAAAGGTTGCCAGCAAGTTTTTTATCATCCGTGGTTAAAAGATTAAATTTGATATCTAAACCAATTGTATTTTCAATATATAATGGGTTATATATAGAAATATCGATGGATACATTTGTTAATCTTAAATTTTGGTAAATTTGGGAAGGTATGAATTTTTTCATCTCAGGAAATTTGTTCGAAAAAATGCTAATATTTTTAAGATAAAAATTCATTGTGGGAGGCTCAGTTATTGGATAAAATAATAAACCAAATTCCGGTTTAATGTCCTTTAAAAATTCATTCAATAACGTGTTAAATAAAGGGACCCTAAGTTTATTGTATATGTTTTCAGAAACATTTAAAGCCAGTGCAATTTTATCAAAAGTTGTATCATCGTTAAAGTTCACTTTTAAAACTTGTTCATTTTCGTTTTTAGTTAATATCTTTATTGAATTGTCCTTGATATTAGCATGCGCCTCTATAGTTATATTTGGATCACCATTAACAGCATCCGAGTTAATAATTGTAGCTTTAATGTTATTCAATTGTGAAATTTGGATGCCATCAAGATAAAAAATATTTTCTTTTATTGATATATCCAAATCTAAAAAAAGTTCAATTTGAATCAATCTAGCACCAGTAGGACCAATTTCAAAATTAATATCCGAAATTTCTTTATTAACTTTTAGATCTAACAATGTAGTGCCAGATAAGAAAGGTAAAGGGACTTTTAGAAATTCCGGCGTTACCATTAATGGAGGCATTATTAATAAACTTAAATAACTGAACGTAATGTCTTTCCACTTCTTTTGTGAAACATTTGCATTCAATAGATAATCGTAAACGGATTTGGTTATAGATATATCTGATATCTCTGGAGTCCATACCCAGTTACTTTTTGATCCATTGTCTAAGAATATCTTAATTTCTAATTGCAGATTATCGAGGTGTGCATTTTCAATATTAACCTGCATAGCTGTTGCATGTTTAAAAAAAGGGGAAAAAGAACAAAATTTTTGAAGCTCTGACTTTTTTAATCTGATAATAGCACTTTTTATATCAATTAGATTATTCTGAGTGAATCTCCATTCAAGTTCTGAGTCTAAGTCAGCTTGAAGAAGTAAACATTCATTTAAAAAGGATTTGAATACCTTTTTTACGTTGCAGGCTCTTATAATATAATTAAGAGCGTTTATAATTGTCAAACCAGAAAGTGTATTATGTTCACTATTTTCTCCAATCATCATTAAGAAACTACGCAAAGTTTTACCACTTTTTTTCTGTTTCGTTTGATTTTTAGGATTATTAATTGAATTCATTGAATTCTCTGAATCCTTTGAACCCTTTGAATCCTTTGAGAAATTAAATAAAAGAGCACCCTCACTGGTAAGTTGCTTCTTAAAATGTAAGGGAACTACATAAAAGTCATCATCATAGTCAAGTGCATAATAAAGATCTTGTTCCGTACTTAAATCTATTAAATAAAAATCATCATATTTATTCCTGGTTGCCCACTCAAATCTAACGATAAAGTTGGAATTACAACTAGAAATTCGATATGCAATTTGATCTAAAAATGGTACGTTGGATATAAAAAACGAAACAGGTTTATATGAAGGAATCAAGTTTCCTTTCTTGCTAACACCGAGCCAAAGTTGTTCATCATTAATTGAAATCTTGATATAAAATTCAGAGATTTTATTGATTGGTTGTTCCGGAATAGGTTTAAAACTATCAGAGATTTTTTTTATTTCTTTACTATCAGAACAATTCCAACTCAAAAGTCTTACACTTTTTGGGTCTTCGAATTCGTCATTAAAAAGATTGATGCCAACCTCAAATGAATTGTCATTAATTGCATAAATTTTAATGTGTTTGTTTAAAAGTTTGTATATGTTATAGAATTCATCCTTCTCAATTTTCAACAAATCATCGACAGTTGAAGCTAATGAATTCATATTAATTTTTGATCCACCAGTTAACAAGATTCTTGCATTTCTTGAATCCTCTAAAATAGACTTAATAATTCCAATTATTACTAATGGACTCGGATGTCCATGTTTCGATCCTGAAGAGATAATATAGGTCCTCACAATAAATGATTTATAAAAATTGGAGATAGAAGATACTATATATCGAAATGCTAAAGGAGAGATATTAAGACAATGCCACATTGGACTAAGTAGTGGCCTGAAATGTGTTGCATATTGTGGTCGGTGTTTTATTTTATTTTTTGTGGAGATGACAAGGTCGAAATTGTCAAATATTCTTTCTTTTATACTTTTATAATATGAATTAAGTAGTTCCTCAGTAATATCTTCCCCAATTACATCTTTAATAAAATCATATTTTGGCCAATGACGTGGTTCGGCATTCTGGTTCGTTTTATAAATCCTGTATAATTTTCTTAAAACCTCTGACCAATTAATTTCATTCCAATCCCAATCAACATTATGGTCTTTTGAAGAGCTTCGAATAGTTAATGCTTTTGCCATAAGCTTTAAAAAACGTTTAATTGCAGTTCGATTTGAAAAGGTTTGATTATACCCCTGCAATAGAGCTGCTTTATTAAATGCTTTGAAATTAATAAAGCTAAGCATCATTTCGAAATCTGCGTTAACGTCAATGTTTGTTTCATTAAAGCCATATTGGCCGCTATAATACAAAATGATCATTAAAGCAAATTGTTGATGCACATATTTGGGTGGATGGACATAAGTTTCTGTAATTATTGAATTAATTTTTGACCCATGGCGAGGTACCTGAAAGATATCAATATATGGACGTTCATTTGGTTGCATTGGCTGATATAAGTTTAACTTCGTGGTTAATACTTCTTGTATCCATGAAGCAACATTATCACTCGTGAGAAATACGGATTTTTTGGTTTTGTCGTTATCATATTGTACATATGTAAGTATACTTGACTGATCTGTTTGAATTTCAGCATTATTTCTCATCAATGTCACATTATCGTTATTGGTCACATTATCGTTATTGGTCACATTATCGTTATTGCCTACTGAATCCACGTCTTGTTCTTTATGCTTTAAAATTAGTTGCTTCCCACTTTTATGAAAAAAGAATTCCATAATTGTATCTGGATGTACAACTTTTGGCTCTTTATTATCCAATCCAAATCCGATGTTGGTTAAAATATCGATAATTTTTTTATTTCTAAATTCTTCAGTCATGATCACATGATCAATATTTAAAGCATGAATACCATTAGGTGAAAGGTATTCTTCTTTTAACAATCTCTGTATACCACCAAGATGCTTTTTACGTGGATTCGTAATAATAATCTTTTTAAAATGAGAGAGTTTATGCTCTGAGAGGACAGATTTAAAATATTGATAAGATGGGAAGGTGGAAGGACCACCGTCAATTAGGTAATTGGTATCATCGATTTTAATGATGTACCAAGCAATACCATCACCTGTACGAATAAAATATAAAACAGTATTATTAACAGTCATGGTTTGTTGTTACAAATTAGCGGTTAATTGTTTTGTAAAGTTTGTAAACAAGGTTATATTATTAAAAGGTTCAGTTTATATAGTAAATTTTTATTATTTTTTTCTTCCGAATAAAGTTTTGCCAGATAATAAAATTTTTCCTTTATTAATTTTTCTTTTTAAGGAAGGACATTATTTTAAGGATTACTGTATATGATCGATGAATAGAATGGTCATAATGTACAATTACGCCCCCGCAAACAAACATTTCAAAAAGTATATCGATATTCCGAATTCCGGTTTCATGGAAATGATCAACCATTGTTCAAGTTTTAGTAAATTTTTTTATTACTTTTTCAAACAATATTTTATCAAAAAATTGGCGTGCGTTATTTGTATGAAAAAGTTTTAAATAAATTTAAAACATAATTATGATTGGATTTTTGTCTAAATTCATCATTTGGACTATAATTCCAGAATTGAATTAATTGAATTATACCTTACGAAATTTATTTACACAAAATATTTATTTATATTCCAAAAATATCAGTTCATTGATTTTTTCCGTTACGGACTGATCCGATTTATCGTTATCTTTTGATGTGATCAAGCAATCAAAAAAAACTTTGTTTTGCACAATTTCTGTATTGGAATTCTTTAGGTTTTTAAATTAAACAGAAAATTTATAATATTTTCTTACAAGTTTTTTAACTATTTAAAATTTGAACCTCTTTTGATATCCTTGAGCGTAGATGGAAAAGGCTTAATATACAACCTTGTTTTAAGTTGATCCACAAAATTTATTTGGTTCCGAACACGAATTATGGTGCATGTACGTAAGATATGTACAGCATGATTGGAAAAGTATTTTATGGCTACACAAAAACCATTTATGCAAAATTTTTTAAGTATTGTAGATCTCACATGCTTGTTGGTCAAATACTCTATAATGTATTACGTAGCTAAAAATTGTATGTGGCACGAATAAAATTTGACTTTATCCTTTTTATTTTTATACGTGTAGCATTGAGAAACGAGTCAGTGTTTGTCTTTTCTTTGCCCTTTTTTGTCATCCCATTACTTAAGTACATCTGCAGCTGAAATTCAGCCCAACCCCAACAGAAAAAAAAACTCAATCGACAATTTTAGAAAATTATATAGATTCATTTATAATGCATACGTATGTAATACAAACTCTCAATTTATACCTGAACAATTGATCACGCAATAAAAGAAATAATGCAATTGTTAGACTAACCTATTTTCAATGTGAAATAAGAAGCCCCCTTGGTGAAACGTTAAAATTCTAGAAAACCGGTGAAACTCCGGCAACATCCTAATGAAATATATGCGAAGCTATCTCACAACAATATCAGTTATGTGATCTCCAAGCCATTCTAGTTTAAATTAAATCCATGAAATAATGATAAGCTTTTTTCTCTTTAAATATATTAAGCAGTAACAAATATTGCGTAATTTTTTTATCATACTCTCCCCCCTCCTCCCACGTAAGAAAAATTTAATAGATTGCTATAAATTTATGTATCTAATATAAAATATCAAGTGACCCCAAGATATTTGTCCCTACCCTTATGGTTTATTATTTTCTAAAGCGAAGTTGACGACTAGGGATGGACTCGGTCGGCTACGGTCGGTTATCGGTCGGCTATTACCGGCTAGCCGCTCATAGCCGGCTAGCCGCGGCTATAGCCGATCAATTATTTAATTTCTTCATCAAATATCGATCTTTAATT